CAGTTTAACCCAATCTACTATAATCTTTGGGGTCGTCCATATCGAATCTGACACCCTGTATATGTATATTCATTACCAGTACTGAAAATACACTCATTGTCAGATGCGAAAAAAGCGGTACACTAAAAATTTGGGAAAAATTTACCAAATTTCAAATGATCATAACTTGGTAAATAATGAAGATAAAAATAAATATAAAATGGAAAATGAAGCTCCAAATGTCCTCTTTAAGAATATATGAATGACAATTATGCTCGGCTATTTTTTTCAAAATGGCGAATGATAAAGTGAGAGGATGCAAAATTGAGAATCGAACATCTGAGTTTGTGACGGTGCATGGCGTGAATCAGGTACCCCAGCGTAATGTAACGAAGTGCATATGAAAGTATGGAGTGCTAGCTTTAAAATGCTTGTTTACCGAGAACGATACGATCATTTTTCACGTAGTTATGCACATTTAAAGAAAAAAAGCGTTTTATTCTTTAAATGTGCATAACTCCGCGAAAAATGATCGTATCGAGCTCGGTAAACAAGCATTTTAAAGTTAACAGTCTATAATTTCATGGGCTCTTCGTCACATTAGGCTGCGATACCTAATGTACGCTATGCGCTGTCGTAAACTCGAAGCTTTATTTATCACCTTTGCATGCTCTCCTTTAGTCATCCGCCATTTTGAAACAATCACCGCGTACAATTTCGTTTTAATTTCGAAAAGTAGGATTTCACAGCTTTCAAACCGTTTTTGAAATTTTGTACTGGGGTATTTAGGTGCTGAGATATTTAATTCCGAATTTGCAACAAGGTCAACTCATAGTCTGTCAAATTATGGTCGTAATTCTCTCCAATATGAATGGCATGAAATTTTACTGATTGGATTGGCATCTCGTACGTGTGTGTGTGTGTGTGTGTGTGCATGTGTGTGCGCGCGCGCGCGCGTTTGCATACCGCAAGGATAAGGACCCCGTGGTTCGTCAGTTCCACATTATTTTAAGGCTCCACACCCTCCTTGTGGTGTGTGTGTCTGTGTGCGTGTGCGTGTGCGTGTGCGTGTGCGTGTGCGTGTGCGTGTGCGCGCGCGCGCGCGCGCGTGTGCGTGTGCGTGTGTGTGTGTGTGTGTGTGTGTGTGTGTGTGTGTGTGTGTGTGTGTGTGTGGTGTGTGCGTTTGCATACCGCAAGGGTAAGGACCCCGTGGTTCGTCTGTTCCACAGTATTTTAAGACTGTGGAGTCTTAATTTACAATTAAAACTTTACAATTAAAAGAATTCTTGGAGATTTAAAATTTTATTTTTGATAGTGAAAAAAAATTAACTTAAAAAATCATCTTGGTCAAATCGGAACTCGGATGACGGCGAAACGGGGGGTACTATCACCACAATTATATCATTTTACAATTTTCTTATGTGAAAGTACAACTAATATCAAATTGTAATCTAAAAAGATGCTTTCTGGGTAGAAAATGTCATGCTCATTGCAAAAAGCAATTATTGATTATTTCGGAACTACGTGAACACGGCCGTGGCAACGCTGAGGCGCGCGGCGACTCACTCACGCACACTAGTAGACGCGTGGCTCACGAACGTGCGTCCGTTTAAAAAGCGATGCGGATTCGCTAATTTTTAAATAATAATAACTACTTTGTGAGACATGACTCGAAAAAATGGTTCGGGACTCTTCGACTCAGTTTTTCATGAGAAATATCACTATATAAATGGTGGGCGCGAATTAGAATACACCCTGTATATGCAGATTACATATGTCAGATTTTTGTTTTAGCAGTTGGATTCTGGGCAATTTAACAGCCAAAAGTTTTTAACTGCTATTAAGAATATTTATAAATACGCTGTCAATAATTATAAAAAGAGGTTGAAGTTATTTAAATCAGTGACATTAACATCTTTGTTATATTCAATAATAGCCAGCCGTTAAAGTATGCATACAACCGATATATATTGAATTTTTAAGATTACTGTATTTTTTGCTGGGAGGGTATACGTAATACATCCTTAAACTTCTGCGTTTAAAACATTTTTGTAATTTTTTAAAATTAATGGTGGGGTGGGGGTAAATTAAAAAATTTGACATTGTTGAAAAATGTGATTACGCCATTGTGAAGACTATAAAAAACAATAAAACTTTTGTCTAAAATATTTTTCCATAAAACTTACATTTTCGAAGATATTCGTAAAAAATGAAAAATCTGTTATTTTCGAGGGGCTGTTTCACCCCCTAAACGTCGAGTAAAGCTAATAAAAATAATACTTTTTTATGCTCTACAACATATCCAAAGCTCATTGAAATCGGTGAGGGACACTTCCGACCGTCCCCTTGTAAGTGGGTAATCGTTGTCAGATGAGACAGTGTCGAAATGTAAAATGCAGATACATGTGAGCGCTGTGATTGTTGGGCTTGTACATACATACATACATACATTAATACAAGTATATCTTATAAATGATTTACTTTTAAAATATCTTGAAACATGTGTATTGCAGATCCATTACCCAACAAATTGTAAAACTGTTAGTATCAAAGTCAAATAATAAAAGTGTATTAAAAAGAATCCTGTCGGTGAAAATTGCAGAGAACTTTTGTATTTGTCTCTATTTCACAGTAGACGATATCACCTCGAATTTAATATCATGTTTATTCATTCGTTCAATCAGAGATGTTTTACCAAATGCAGCACCAGGAGTGAGCACGCCTCCGCTGTAAAAACACAATAACATACAAATAAAGCTGAAGTTTAACATGAAAATATTATTGGGTTTTAATTATTTATTATATGTATATTACAAACTCAAAAACTGCGAAATATTCGAGAAGTGAGTGTAGGGCAAAAACATGAGTATTATTAATAATTCACTCACTTGTCAGGCATTTTGTCAGCCTCATTAAGGATGGTTATTGCCGATAAGATCGCCATAATACTGGTCGCTTCGTATGCAGGAGACACACCGGAAACTCTGGTGATTACTGTCTTATTCGGTGGATTTGTGTGTTTGTCGGTAGGTCCGGTCAACTTTTCGGTCCATCCACGGGCTTTGATCGTCACAGAAAATCGTATCGATTTCCACACTTCCGGATTCGGATTTTCGTGAGTGATAAAACCCAATGTAAATAGGGAGGGGTGCTGCAAACATCGCGGTTAATTATCTCGCATTATCTAAATAACTTTGACAAGCGCAAATATTTCGATACGTACTTTCAAAAGTAACTTACGACCGCACGCTGTGGGAGCCGAAATAGTAGCCATCATCCCAACAATGAGGAACTTCAACAAGCCAAGGAGAGTCCTGATAATAAACGTGCATTAGCAGCAATAACTTTTTAACATATGTGACATTATCGACATATATACTAACGTAAACGTAACATAAACTTGAACTTGCACAGGCCTCTCTTTGTATTTCTCGTACAAGAATCGCTGTGTACGAAGATTTAGTGGACGATCGGTACCCCGTAACAGTATAGACCATCCTTCAGACACATCATTATTTCGTTGCACCATAATTCTGACAATGAACAGAATTATTAACGTTGTGTGTCATCAGTACAATCATTATGTCTTCTTTTTTTAGACAACGCAGAAGATTTGAATAATTTCTAAGTATTTGATACAGTTGACAAAATATGATTTATAATTGTACACGTAATGTTTGGACATGTACGTACCTTGGTTTTAATTTCGGCCTGAATTCAGGCAGTTTAGTGGGATACAATTTGTTGCGTAATTGTTGTAATTCGTTTGTATGAGACAGAAAATATATTGCGGACTCCCAAGTTGCATAATTGAAATACGGACCTTTGTTGTCAGTGCTGGTTGACCACAACTTCATGTATACTTCAACATCATTGACCTCTCCTCCAAATTTCTCCTGAGTGAAAAGGATCCCCAAATCACTAGGAACACAATCAAATCCGCAAGCACTCACTACGTAAACTCCAGCTTCTTTAGCTGCCTCGTTATATTCCAATTGCATTTTCTCCATAAACTGTAAAATATTGAAATTATCAATCAACTGTTATTGTACTGTTGCAGATGTATATTGAACTTACCTGTTCTTCACCAGTGACATCGATATAATGAGTATGAGTAGCGATGCACGCTTTAACAACTGGTTCTCCATAAAGTCTATATGGACCACAACAATTAATAAGTAGTCTTGCTTGCTCTGTCATTTTTTTGAGAGATTCCTCATCTTGCACGTCAGCCAGAATAATAGGTACATTCTCTAAAAATATATATATATGTAGTATAAAAGCTAATAATAAGTAAAGTGGCTCCCTGTCTTTTAGAATAATTATATAACTTCAAGTCTTGAAAGTACCAATATTTGAAGCAAATTCTTTAACAACCGCCTCTAAAGCTTCCTTTCTACGACCGGCAATACCAAACTTCTGCTTCTGTTCCTTGCACACGTGTATCGAATTCTTCACTACATATTTTCCAGTGTATCCAGTAGCACCAAATATTATTATATCCAAACGGTTATTCGCCATTTTCCTGCAATCTACAGCAAAATAATTAATTATATACAATAGTTCAATTATTTGGATATATTTTGTTAGACAAAAACATTTTTATCTTCTCTGCAAAAGTAATGATATTATCAAATTGCGCCAACTAAAATAAATATTCATACAAACTAAATACTTTATTATTTTTTATATTAAAATGTTATATCCAAACAATCGAGCATAAGAAATCTTATACCGGAAGAATTAAAAGATATAGTAATATTAGTGAGACTAATTTTTAATACTTTATTTATATTATTTGGTAACATTATATTTTTATTATTCAATAAAAATATAATGTTACCAAATTGAATACAACTAAATATTTTATTAAAAGATGGCTTTTTCTACTTGTTGGATACATATCGGTCCTGACTCATGACGAACAGTACACAAGAGAAAAAGAGGAGATCAAAGTTCAAGCGCTATAATTACACAAGATATTATATAAACACAGTTTTCCAAAGTTAATAAATGGTAAAGATTCAAAGACAAAGATTTTAATAAAGATTCTATTGAAAAAAGGTTCTATCAGAATATTGAGATCAGATGCGCCCAGTTGAAAATTTTTCTTAGAATTTTTCACAATTTTTAATAATTTTTTATCAAAAGTTTCAGATTTGTTATACAAATTCGAACAGTTTATTTAGAAGTATTGAGAAAGTTTATATCTTTTCTAAAATTTTTCATGTATGAATTCTGAAATATTCTAAAATTTCTTATTCTATAATTTCAAACATTTATATCTCGGAATATTCACATATATGAAAAGTTATAAGAAGAAAAGTAGACTTTCTCAGTATTTCTGAAAAGTGTATCAATTCGTATAAAAAGTTTGAGAAAAATTTTCACCAGGACGTTCTTTGGTCCAGAATACACTCCGCCTCGCCTCCCGAGAGTCGCAGAGTCGAAGAATATCGATTGAATGTAAATCAAATTCTAAATAGAAGGTGACGTGTATCGATTTGTGTCAAAAGTGTCGAGTGTATTCTCTTTCCTTCCAGCTTATGTATACTTTTACGGAAAAGCAACCAAATAATTACTAGAAAATTACTGTACATCAGTAATTTCTACTGGTTCAATCACTGATATACGAGTACAGTAATTTTCTAGTCTATATATATAATTATTTCGTTACATTTTCGCAAGGGTAATATGCATATATATATATATATACAACATACAAGATATAAATTACGTACATGAGTGTCTCACGATAATCAGGGCAACTTAGTAGCCAAAGATCGAATTTTCCTCGCGCAACAGTGTGTCCTCTTACGAGATGATTTGCACAGATATACATATACATACGCTTCAGACAATAGCCGCTTGTGACTGCCGAGTATCAAGGAAAAATGATAAGTGTGTAAAACATCGATAAAAATCGCATCGTCATCAAATGTCTACCATCATTTCCGTAAACCGCTAGAGGAAAGCTGGAGAGGGACGTCTGAGCACGCCTATCTCGAGCGATGTATTCCTTTAAGTGCTGGAGGTCTTCGATACGTTTGAAACATTGTTGCGCAAGTCGTTAGGCAAGCAAATTCCTGTTGCCGCTTGAATAGCTTTACAATTATTGGCTTAGAATATAAAAAACCTATGAACTATATCTCTTACAATTAGTGCTATAAGTACTCTGTGTCGTCACGAATACCTCTTGCTTTTAGAAGCATGCTACTGTTTGCGTAAACACATGTAGTCCTAATAGCTATACAAGTAAAATAATTATGCAAACTATGACTTTATATAAGCTTTATATAAAGATATATTAATACTTTATAAGATGGTAATATTGTGCATGCGCCAACGTCGACAGTTATCGAATTGTCCAAAGATTCTTCAAGAAATGTCAGACAAATGATATTGCAAAATAAATTAAGAATGTTGTCTCATAAATGTAATATAAAATTTATTTACCTTTATTTGTATGGACAAGTAAAACAGACAATTAAACGTAAGTTTTGATTATCTTTTAAATTATCACGAGACACAGTAGTGTCTCATGACAAGTATTATACATGTACATTATTATACACACAGAGAGAAAAAAATAGTTGCAGTTACCACAATCTCACTATAATTTATACATTTTTGGACCCAACCATATTTTTATAATTCTTCCAACTACGTAAGTTATTTATGGTTGACCTAACAATGTATTATAGTTCTCATAGACACTATATTGGTCCATGCAACTTATGATATGGTTGTCATAAACCAAAACAAGCTTTTAATTTGGTAAGGTGTACTATAAATATTGCAATAACAACCACAAGTAAAATTTCGAATAACTATATGTAATAGTAATTTCATTATATTCATTGGTTACATCACTTTGCACTCATAAAGAATAGTACAAGAAAGCATCTTTCAAAGAAAAGATACGTAATCTTGTTCGAGTGCATAAACTAATCCGTATTTATAACACCCTAAGCGGTTTTCTACTTACGAGAGAGTCTTCCCACATAGCACTGACGTAACAAGGATATCCTTATGAAGTTACAGATATCTCAGAGATATCTGAGAGATATCTTTATACAAATGTCTCAGAGATATCGTAGCAAATATCTCAAAGAT